GGAAGTTAAAAGAATTCACCCATACTTCTGTTATGATATCGGCAGGGCATTCAACAAAGAGGCGATTTGTTTAAGGATATGCAGAAGGGCTCTGGACACACGGTTGCCTGTGATTTACAGAGTCAATCAGTGGGGTACAATGAAAAAAACAGGAGTGAAATGAAAATAGAAGATATCCTTCATCTGTGCGTCTACTCTTTGGATGTTGACTTGGTCAGTCCTCCCTCTGGGTTAATGTGTCAAAGATTGTGGCGATTCCAAAGAGAATCCAACTTTCTATGTACTTTTGTTTCTTCCTTTGCCCTTGCAATGAATCTCCTAACCCTAATGGAGCACTTCTCAGGTTTTGGTCTCTTGTGGCAACTTTCTGCACCCCACCTAGATCCCAACGGCTGATTCAGCAGTATATAGAGCAGAGATGGGCGAATGAGGCTAGTGAGTGGGCTGCAGGAGTGGCCCTCCTTCATCTCAGTGGGCTGCAAGGCTGTCGTAACCTAGATGGTCTCCCAGGCTAGGGTAGCAGCACAGCTTTCACGGTCAATGTTGTGTGCAGTCAGCACATACCTCACTTCACATGCCTTGGGAAGTGGGGAGGCTGGAGTGTCAGCATGGGCTCCCCTATGCTGGGGGGAAGGACATGAGTCTCAAGGCTGGATTGAGGCAAGCTGGGGGCCGCATCTGGCCAGTTCCCCACCCCTGTATTAGGTCATGAGCTTTTATGAATAAAACCCACTTTATCATATGAGTTAGAGTGGAAATTACAGAATCCAGAGTATATTTAACAGCAAAAGCAGTTATCTTTCAATTGTAGGGCCAGTATTAATGAGGCTAATTGAATCAGGCTGGATGTGTCTCATTCATAACTTTTGATGTGTAAATGTGAATATCAAAGGCAGAGGAAATTGCCTTTGTAGTGCATTAACCAGTCTCAATCTTTATTCAAGCCCCAAGCGGAGAGTGTCAAATTTGTAAATGAACTCCAGTACAGTAGTCTTTCTCTGTTACTGGGTGATAAAATTCCTTTGCAGAACAATGGTTACTTTTAAATCCATTATTGAATGTCCGGGCAGGTTAAAATGTTCCCCTACAGGTTTATGTGTGTTACCATTCCTGATGTCTGATTTGTGCCCATTAATTCTCTGTCACAGATACTGTCTGGTTTGGCCAATATACAAAGCAGAGGGGCATTGCTGGCACTTGATGGCATCTATCACATTAGAGGATGTGCAGTTCTATGAGCATGAAGGTTTATGTCCTAATACATTTGTTAATCTTTAAGGTGCCATAGGACTCCAGGTCTTTAGTTGTTACTGTAGGTCAGAGACTGGATAACAGGTTCCACCAAGTATTCTTAGAGCATCATATCTTTAGGCAAAGGTTTGTTGTCTCTGTATTCCCTGCTCTCAGATGCATTGTTTGGGGCTGCCAGTGACATCAGCACAGCAGTCTGTTAAAAGAAAAAAAGCCTTTAATAAGAGATGGTGGCCTGTCTCTCATCGGCGTGTGACTGAAGTACTCAGACATGCCATTAAGAATGTAACTCCGAAAAGCTCCTTCAGCGAAACAGTGAAAAAAGCAAGGCAATAAATTAATGGGGAATGGACATTATCTACTGATTGACCTTCTCAGTAAGCTAAACAGCTTTCGCTTTTGCCTTGGGGCATCTGGCTGCCTGACATGGGCAATTATCCTATGATAACATCAACTGCACTGGGTCTCATTGCTTCATTAGGAAGCTGCTTGGGCTGGTAATGCATTCCGATTAGCTGGCGAACATTCCTGAGACAGGAGATTAATCTGCATGAAGTGTTCAGTGCTTCTAGCCGCTGATCGCTTTTCCAAGTTGTGCTTTTCACTGGCTCCGAGTAAAACTGACTTCCCCATTCGTGTTGTGCTCAACCAAGATCAGGGCACTTCTGCATTAGCTGCTGTAAGTACACATCACATGAAACTTTGCCCTTTATGATCTAAATATACGAGACAGACAAAGGAGGGGAGAAAGGAATCACTCTCATTCTTGTCCAAGATGCTTCGCTATTCAAAATTCAAAACTTTGATTGGACATGTGGGCCACATGGGATGTTTCTGATCCCGGATTGGATGAGTGGAACTCTTCAAATTTGTTTCTTGCTGGAATATTTGTTTCTGTAGGTGCGGGAGTTGGGGGGCTATATTGGATATTTCACAGTGAGTATGGTTGTGATCTAGGAAATGCTGCTCGACCCTGATAGTTTGATGGTGTTCAGTCTCTGAGAGTAGGTTCCAGCCTGTGGTATATTAAAACACGGTCAATACATATTAAAACACAGGTAAGAGACATTAGTAACTTGCGGCCTGATGCAAAGCCCATTGAAATTAATGGAAGGACCTCCACTGATTTGTTGTTGGATCAGGCTCCTACAAGACTGATTGGAAACCACCGGCCTGGCTGGCTAGGCTTGGGTATTTCACTGAGGCTACGTCTAGATTACAAGCCTCTTCCGAAAGAGAACGTCTGGACTAAAGCAGATTTTTCGAAAAATAAGCCACTTTTTCGAAAGAGAGACTAGACGCTCTCTTTCAAAAAAGCAGTTTGCATTCAATAGCACCTTTTAGAAAGAGTACTTTTGAAAAAAGGCGTTATTTCTTGTAAAATGAGGTTTACAGCGATCGAAAAAACTGCCGCGTTCTTTTGATTTACTTTCGAAAGAATGCAGCTGCAGTCTAGATGCAGGTGAAGTTTTTTCGAAAAAAGGCCACTTTTTCAAAAAAAAAACCCCTGTAGTCTAGACACATCCTGAGAATAAGAACTCCAGATGGCTGATTAAATGTTAAGGGAGGGCGCACGTATGAGATCTGCTTTGGTAGCTCATGGCTGGCCTTCATTCAGTGCTGTGCTGGTCAGTCAGCAAATCTCTAAGAAACTCTTTGGTATAGAGGGCTGGTTCCCACAGCTTGGAACAGAAGATCCTGCTGCCCATCAGCAACCTCTGGAGTGATCATGTTCTCTGGTAGCTGCCCAGCCTAGAAAGAAAAGAACCAGAGGTGCCCGCTCCACACAGCTGCCAAGGAAAGTGGTGGATTTGCCATGCAAGTGAAATTTGTAAAGTGTAGCTCACCTGGCTGTCTGAAGTTGTGCTGGCGAGAAATGGTTTTGATGTGAGAACTAAAGAAAACCCAGCGATAAAAAGTATCATCTTTTGATGTTGTACTGCAACAGCCCACCCCCCCTCGCACCCGGGCAGCAGATGCATGGTATTTTTTTTCTCATGTGCAGCCAATGAGAGACTCTTTCTTTTGCCTTGGCAGGTCCTTCCACTGCTGCAAGGCACACGGAGGCAGCCAAGAGTCTTGGGACAGATTGTGGCACAGAAGGAAGAAGAAAGCAAGTTCAAGATGGAGTGTTGGGTGAGAACCTGCCGAAGGCCACCCAGCAGCAGGAAAGATGGACACCGTGAAGAGACCTGGGGAGAGGAGTTTTTGGAGTAGGAAGCCAAGAAGCCAGAATGCAGCAGAAAGACCTGTTTGGGAGGATGCTCATCCTGGCAGTGAGTCTGCGAGCTTCAGATCAAGCCATAGATCCTGCTCCAACCTCATCGCCTGAGTCCTCTGCATGCTACCATGCCCTCGATCCCAGGCACCTATTGGACAATACTGGGATTGGGTGACCTATGCCATAGGGAATGAACACTAAATGAAATCATCACCTCTACAGTCTACCAGCGACCCACTTGCATGAAACACACTAGAATGGACAAGCAGAACAGAGAGAAGGGTGGACAGCTACAGTTCTTGTGCACACCAAACAGAGCCTGAGAGTTTTGCTCTATCGTGTGTAGCAGTGCCTCCCATCCACTGTTCACTTGGCTTTGCACCATTTTTGTTTGTGGAGCTGTACGTTTTGCTGGCAGCTGCCTTGCCTGTCAGGTGTTTCACAGTGTGAGTTTCTGGTACATGACTGCTCACAAGTAAAGCGTCCTGTATGCACCCAAAGGTGTCATTATCACAGCTCATTACATTTACTGTGGAGGCATGTCAGCACAGCAATCTATGTGCTGTGCTTTGAAGTATGTGACAAGTTTAAATGGCATAAACAGCCCATTCCTTTCAAAACATTAGGCTCACAAATAAGCTGTGAGTTTAGGTACAGGGCCAGATTTTATAAATGATATGCAGTGTTTCATATGTACTGGCTGAACCTCTCTAGTCCAACGATCTCTGGTCCGGCAACATCCGTGGTCCAGCATGATTTGAGATAGCTGGATGTCCACTTATCATGGGTGTTGCCAAGTTTTTCATGTTCCCATAAAGCTTGTTTACAGACACCAGTCCTGGCTCTCAGTGTTCTGTGCTGTTATTTAGCTCTAATTCACTCCTAATTGTCTTCTAAGAGCCCAGTAAGCAATGGAAGTGTTGGTAATGCTGCTACACAATATTGACCTCCCATAGTTCAGCAAATTCTGTGGTTCAGCACTGGTCAGGACCAGAGGGTACTGGACTAGAGAGGTTCAACCTGTACCACCCAGGAGTGGCTCCAGGAGAGCTGCTGGCAACTGGCACCCTAGGCGGAATGTGCGATTGGCACCCCCGCCTCCATAGCCCTCAATGGCGTGATGTCATCATTGGGCGCCACATTAAATGCGGTGCCCTAGACAACTGGCAAGATTGCCTACACCCACAGGCCGCCCCGGTACCACCATACTGCATGGAGTGCAGGGGACTGGACTGGAGTGCGGTCTCTTCTAGACTTGGTATTCTATAAACTGAATGATGAGGTATAGGACCTGAGTGCACAAAATACATAATACAAATACTTCCTGTTTGTTCATATCACTATACACACATATACGATTTCATTGCCCCCCACACTCACTGGAGGATGCCAACCCACTGTGTAGGAGCACAAATTATCTCTGATTTCCATTGAGTGCCCAGAACCCTAGCTCCTGCTCCACTGACGACAGCTGCTCTTTCTGCTTATGAGCACTGGCGAGGAGGTCTATTCCTGGTGCATGGCTTACCTGTGTCCTGGCCCTCGTTGGGCAGACCCCCAGCAGGCAAAAATAACGGGTGGCAATGCAGCCCTGGCAGTGGATGGTTCTGTGATATCGATCTGCCAAATGCACGGTAAGCTGCCTTTCTGGAACTGCCGCTTGTCTAGACAGACCTCCTTCCATCAGGCCTTCAGAGATCGGGAGAGGCTTCATAAGCTGCAGCAAAAAAGGCAAATCGGGTCCCTGAGAATGCTGATGCGAGTGGCAACTCCTTTGATAACAATGTTATCTGTTGGGATCAGCGGTGAAAGTAACTTAACATTTCTTACAGGTACTGTCCTATTGCAACCCGGGTCCCTGACAACTCTTTAAATAGCTCCCGGCTGGCTTTTGCCACAGCTCAGCCAGCTCCATTCTCTTCACACCAGCAACTATTTCAGGGACATTGTTTATGTCCACAAGTCACACTTTTGTTTTCACCAGTGAGTGCTCCTCTCCGCCCCCTTCCTCACAATGTGAACAGCGAGCGGGGCCTTGAAGAAAATGGCAGAACCTATAATCTATTCTCCTCTGTGGCTCTAGTCCTGTCCAGACTATAACCCACCCGTCACTATGGACAAGGATTACTCTACAAAATGGCTTCTTTTGTTTGCTACCTATATCCTGCCCTCAGAACAGATGGTGGTAAGTGCAGCATTCGGGAAAGTGGACACGATTGCCACTTGATTTGGGCCTGTATCCATGCAGGGCTATGTGAATGGAAGTTGCATTGGCTACCTCAAGCAGTGGTCAAATTTGTGTGAGACATGACAGGAAAGTATGTGGATTGTATTCACCTCATGTTACACCAGTGGCAGCCCAGCACTTTCCCAGTCTCCACACAGGACAGGACCTTGCTCATATGATGTCACACCGTGCATGGGCCATTGCAGGTGGTGTCTCGTAGTGTGAATAATTTAAGGGTTACAATTAATTAGGTTAAGATGCCTCTCAACATGGCCAATGGCAGTGCTGGTGTCCCCCAGTGACCAGCCAAGTAGTCACCACATGATCAATTAGTTGAGCATCAATACCCATTCAGTCTCTGGTGAGAATGCCAGAAAGACACCCGTCGATCTCTCAAATGGATACCACCCACCACACTGCCCCGAGACCATGCAGCACCCAGTTGGAGGGGAACAGTTTTCAGGCACTATCAACTCTTTGAACAAATGGCTCAGAGATGAAAGACTGTATCCCGTACAATCTGCTGAGCCCTCCAGTCAGGAATTATAATGTCATTTTCGGAACCCTCTTAACCAGCAGAGCTGGTGTATCATTTTGCATCCCTGAGGTAATGGAACATATGGGGGCCCTGGATGGAAGAAGCTTTCTATAGAATGGATAATTGTTTAACTGTGGCTTCTGATCAACCCAGGCTGGGTTCCTGCTTTCCAAAAGCGTGTGTAAAGAAAATATGGCTGGATCAACATATCTACTCAGGAGAGCTGCTCCAAAACACAACTCCTTTTTTTTTTCTTAAAATGAAGAGAGGAGAAAAACCCCTCTCCTGGCCATCCTCTGCCTTTTAGGGGTGGAGTAGATGTCAAAAATGGACATGTTGATTTTGTAAAAATTTGAAGGAGGGATCAAAATTTGAAAAAATTGACTGCCCTATGACTGGCAATGAAAAACAGAAAAAGGAGTGTGTGGAAAAAGAGGACATTTCATGCAATTCTGTGAGGGTTTTTGTTGTTGTTGTTGTTGCTTTTTTTTTTCAGGAGTCATGGTGTTCAGACCATTTCTCTAGCTTGTCCGGATCATTTTGAATTCTGACCCTATCCTCCAAAGGACTTGCAACCTCCTCCCAGCTTGATATCATCTGCAAACTTAATGAGTACTTTCTATGTCAATATCTAAATTGTTGATGAAGATATTGAACAAAATCGGTCCAAAAGTGAACCCTGTGGAACCCTACTTCTTATGCCCTTCCAGCATGATTGTGAATCAATGATTCCTACTCTCTGAGGGTACATCTACATAACATGCTTATTTTGAAATAAGCTATTTCAGATTTTTTTTTCTGAAATAGCTTATTTTGAAATAGCACATCTACACTACAGGGAAGCCTTAAAATTTGTTTGAGGTAGGCTTCCATAATGTGGACATGCTACCTTGATTTAGAGCCCCAGGAGGCACTAAGGAGTAATTACTCTGAATGTCCCTGGGGAGGAGCTATTTTGAAATAGCAGCTGTGGAGCATCTACACTACTGTTATCCTGAAATAGCTATTTTGGAACAGGTGTTATTCCTCATGGAATGAGATTTACAAATTTCAAAATAAGCCATCTGTTATTTCAAAATTATTTCAAAATAATGGAATTGCTATGTAGACGCTCGCATTGTTATTTCGAAATAATGGCCGTTATTTAAAAATAACTATGATGTGTAGATGCACCCTGAGATCAGTTATCCAACCAGTTTTGCACCTACCTTGTAGTAGCCTCATCTAAGGGAGCCAGGAGAGTGAATGGGAGAAGGTGTTGAGATTTGAATTGGAAGATATACCTACCTGTTGTTTTCTTTGTGTGAGTTTTTAAGCCAGGAGTTGGGGGAAGAAGATGTATTGAACCAGGCATGCCTACAAAGAATACTGGTCATGGGAATGGACTGGACCTTGAAACATGGATTGTAAGTAGATAGGAAAATGTCTATTTAGTCACGGTCAGATTATTTTCTTTGTTTTGCTGTTTGGTTAAACTTCCCTGTGCTAAGTCCATGTGCCCTCCCCCATTCACCGTATTTTAAGCTGTATACCAGAGATACAATTTCTCTGTCTTTTAATCTGTTCTTCTCTCAGTTGCTCTGTAACACCTAGCAACCGAATATGCTTGTTGAAGTCTATCTTTTTGGTTTGTTAATGAAATCGCCTTTTTTAAGGAGACAATTTGATCCTCGTGTCCTGGAAATTTACAGAAAGTCTGCATATGCATGCCTAAGACTGAGAGGTCAGCTATTGCAGATTACAGTTTGTTTTCTCTCCCTCTTTTTTTTTAAATTCCAAGCTCGGCTGTGGTAAAAGAGCTTGGGGGTACCCCCCTGGCAGAAGTCTTTTCCAAGCTCGGCTGTGGTAAAAGAGCTTGGGGGTACCCCCCTGGAAGCTTTTTTCCTGGGTTCAAGAAGAAAGGGTTGTTTTTTTTCACTTGGTGGTGGCAGATACCTCCTAGAGCCAGGGAATCTGTGACTTTGGGGATCTTTTAAGCAGAAATCTACAGGGGCAAGGTATTTTAAGGTCTCTTGCAGGCCCTCACCTTCTGCACTCGGAGTGCCAGAGTGGGGAACAGCCTTGACAACCTGACTGATTGGCAACAGGTCGGCATGTCTCATTGCAGATGGCTTAGCCGGCTGAGCGTTTTCAAGCACGAAGGGGACTATACAGCTTTGACAAATAAATAAAACAGATTTGGGTTTTTTTAACTATGGAAACCACCACTAACCAAGTAGCTGGAGATGAAGGGAGGGCTACTGTGTTGAATATAGCAGACCTCAAAGGATTTATATCACCCCTATGTGCCACAAGCCCTGAGTAAGAAGCAATGCAGAGTGGTGCTCTCCCACAAGATCATCCCAGTGGCTTCTTTGCTGAGATGAGAATGAAACTCTACCGCCCCCTCTACCCAACACAGTTTGCTTCCCCCTCAACACTAGCTTGGTTGTGCAAGGCTTTGCTCCTTCTCCACCTGCATGCATGGAAAAAGGAGAGAGCAGCCCACCTACTCTCCTCATAGACTGGGGATGTGGGGAGCAAACTCAAGGGAGTTCCAGCCCTTTAGTGCCCAGCGTGGGCATGTCAAGAACCTTTGACTGCACCCAATGGGAAGAAGAAACCTGTAAATTCTGTGTGTGATAACCATGTTGTGTTTTCCCTTGAGAAGGGACTCTTGTTGGAATGTGTGGGGACCTTTAGACTGAGTTTCCTTTGCTAGCTTAGGTGAATGCAGCATACCTGGACACTAATGAGCTTACCCATGGAGAAAGGTCAGAAGAATTTAAATGTAAAGCATATTGTGCACCCTCATTAAAATATTTTGACTTGTGTGCCAGAGGGGGGGAAAGGGAACATGTCAGCACATGTCAAAATACTTAGATGGTGGAAGTCTAACTTCTGATGATGATCAGTGAAAATGGTTTGAAAGCCAATATATTAAAACACTTGAGCATAGTTCATTTTTTGAGACACATTAAAAAGGGAGAAAATCATTTCATCTGTGTCAAAATGCTCCAACAGTCTTGATGTCAATTGTTTTCCTTAGCCTAAATTTAATGAAAAGTGCATGGGGGTAGTGTGTGTCCATGGGGAACAGGTTGATACACCATGGTTAGCAGCTCAAACATTGTCATCATAATGCTTGGCATTCAGAAAGTTGAACAAACTCAGTTCCTCTGTGGCACTTGAGTGCTTTATTCCACACACAAAAGGTTTCTATCATCTTTGCAGATCCTACCATCTAAAAGCTGCAAATGAAAACTGTTAGCATTTGGAAAGAGCTTGTAAGTTAGGCTTAAGGGGAAATCCAGACAGCCTAATGCACAAGAGGTAACAGCTGAAAAATCTGAAACCTGCCAAAACCTTCAAGCTGTATTATTTACTAAGCTGATAAAAAAGGTAGCTTGCGTATATTTTATGAACAGGGGAAATCCCTAGCATATTAACATGAGCTTTCTCACAGTTTTCCTGTTAAGTAAATATGCTTCTCTAAAAGACAAATTGTAAAAGAATTTGAGACAATAAGGATGCTCAGAATTAACTTCATGTTTACATTGAAGATTAGGAAAAGACTATATAATGTAGCTTCAGTATTACATAAAATAACCCTGAACAGAGAGATAAAGCCGCTATTCTGCCCCAGCATTGGTTGGCTGGTAATCTTATTACTGAATTAATGTAGCTAGCTGCTTTGCACGAACTAGATGTCTCCTAGTTTCCCCCCAATCTGGCAGAATAGGTGAATGAATAAAAATATAAAAGAGAGAGAGACATTTTGGGATCTTTGGCCTGCCCATATTTTCTCCCTACTATAAAAAAAAGTCACTGTGACTCAACATAGAGCACTGCAAAGAGAGAAGAGTGGAAGCTCTTAGCTGATGTTTCTTTCTTACCTCATGCTATTTTGCGGAGGAACGAGAGGCTGTTTTGGCGATTATGAGTAACCATTGCTATTGTCAGGGGGCACACACACGTGAGAAGCAAACAAAAACAAAAACAAAAAAACCCCCAACCCCAAACTGATGTGGCCCCTGACTGAGAAGGAGAAAGACACTCTCCACAGTCCCCTCACACGCCAGAACCTAGGGGGACCCAAGTTAGTAGACTTTGTGTGCTCCAGCCCCATGCTGTAGCGGCGGGGCGTGTGTGTGTGGGGGAGGGGCCGGTGCACCAATGCAGGCTCTCCAATGTTGAGGATAGATCCCTGAGCCTTGGGGACTCTCAGGGTATGTCTACACTACAATGTTAATTCGAACTAAGCTAATTCGAACTAACGGATCCAGACTAAAAAACTAGTTCGAATGAGCATTTTGCTAATTCGAACTAGCATGTCCACATTAAGTGGACCCTGAACCGGGGTTAAGGATGGCCGGAAGCAGTGCCGGCAGGGCATCAGAGGAGGACTTAGAGCATGGAGATGCTGTCTCAGGCTAGCCGAGGGCTGTGCTTAAAGGGTCCCGACCCCCACCCCGGACAGACAGTTCTCAGGGGTGCCCCGCTTGCAAAGCAGTCCTGGCTTGGATTGCCCGGACTACCCACACTGTGCACATCACAGCACTCGGCCATCAGCCCGGCTGCACTTGCCGCAGGCTGCCATCTGCGGAGAGGGGGCAATTGAGGGGCTGCAGGAGAGGTTCCACCCCCAGAAGCCCGCAGAGCCAGCCCAGTCCTCCCCATCGGGGGCTCGTACCCCATTCCTCCCTCACCTCCTTCCACTTACCCTTCCCTAGCCCC